TCAGTTAGAAAATTAAAAAAAAAATCTAGTGGTTTAGTTGTGGTCAAAGAAAGAGTCAGTGGGGATGGGAGGTTTCAGCAACATGCTGGTAGAAAAAAAGAGACTTACATAGTCTGGGAGGGCAGTGAAATGGAAGGCGTGGTAACCTCGCTCACTTAGTTGTCATTGTTGATTTTCAATGACATTTTTTTCATTCTTTCGCCTAGTAAAGATGACAGAAGGTCCTAATTTATTATCTGACGTCTATTCCTGCTCCTAGATTTAAGAGCGTTTATCTGTATACAGTCATATAATCCAAATACAGACACTTTGAAAAAAAAAACTAAAGCACGGATGTTGCACACATTCAATTATAATTATAACTGTACCCGCAAACCAGAGATAAGGATGGGGTTGAGGTGGCGGGGGGAGTCAGCTCACAGCCTAGGTGATTGGGGGAGAGAGGGACCCTCTGATTAAAGCAGTAGAAAGAAGGGGGTAGATTACCACAAATAGCTAAGTTCTTCCTGAAATAATACTAGCTATGCATTCTTGAAGAATGCAGAATTAAAGTCCTCAGCATGGCTCTACATATCCAATGTATACACACAGAGCTGGTCCAAACGCCCATCACACGTCACAATGGTGTCTACATTAGACGCTTTGTGCCGCTGAGGTTAGGATACATTTTATATGATGGGAAAACTACAGTCGACACTTAATTAACATGACCTGGTAGATCACTGGGGCTTGACTGGAGGGGAAACAAAGGAGCAGTGCCAGTCCGTGTCTGTATGTGAGTCCTCCCGCGGCCGGATCAGATCAGGCAACATCGAGGCCAGATCAGATGGAGCCACGTCACGGGGCCTCCGACACTTCCTTCCGCTTCATTCAGCCTGGGTTGGGCTAGCATGCTGAAGGTGCTCAGGAGATAGTTATGAATAAATAAACGAAGGGACCACATAAGTTAAACTCTATGAAGAAAACCACCCAGGTCACAAAAGCCCTCGCTTCTACAGCTGATTTGTACATTTTAAGGAGCACAAGGGAGTAGGGAGAGGAAAGAAAAAAACAGAAAAGACTTTTCATCAGAGGAAAGGGAAGGGATCAAAGGCAAAAAAAAATAATACTGGGGGAAAAAACACACCAAACAATTAAATGCCAAGTCATCTCCTGGCATTGCAAATGCTGGTCAGTAGCAAAATACTGGAATTTGGAGTTTAGTTCTGCAGTGGTGCCTATCACATCTGTTCATCTGGTCTCACACAAATGCTTTCCTATTCTCATGCATAATCTCAAGTATATTCTTTAATAGGTGCATGATACTTATTTACTTATTCCATTTATTTTTAAAGAAACTACATCCAGAGGCCATTTAATGTCAAAAGGTGTCTGAAACTTAGCTAGAACAATCAAATTAGTGTTTAGTCAGTTTCTATAGGTATGTATTCACTGGTCTATGTTTATTTTGAAAACCAAATCCTCAAAAATAAACAAACAACACACTCATCTCATCTATACTCTAACAGGTAGTTGT